GTGTGTGTGTGTGTGTGTGTGTGTGTGTGAGAGTGTGTGTGTGTGTGAGAGTGAGTGAGTGTGTGAGAGTGTGTGTGTGTGTGTGTGTGTGAGAGAGAGAGAGTGTGTGTGTCTGTGTGTGTGTGTGAGTGTGTCCAGCAGTTGAACCCCACACAAATGAAGATGTACTTTAAGGGAACTTGTCTCCAGTGTGGAGGTGTGATGGGTGACAGGGACTATGGGAGTGCTGATGTCAGCACTTTAGCCCAGTGCCAGAGCACTGCCAGAGAAACGCCGCTCTGTTTCCCGACTCAAGAATAGCTTTCATCATAGTTCTGCTCTGTCATTTTATATTTCGGCACTCATAGTCAGGTTCTCTTTGCCTAAGCGCTCATTAGTGCTCACACGGTCCACCCGTGTCTTTGAATTAGAATCGGCAGAGATGGACTCCCTGACAGTTTCATGCATTTACTTTGGAAATATTGAATCAGGGTGTAAATTACCAGTGGGTTTGCTAATTAAGATTTGAAGCCCATCAGTTTGGGGGTCTGAAAATCTATGTAGGCTATGCAAAACAATAGCTCACCCAGAAATTCTGTCATCATTTACCAAACCAGGGCTGTCAACAGGGCCACCGACACAATAAATAAAAAAAAAAATATATATTTTTTTTTTCACATACATTAAAATTTTGAAGACATTGTTTCAGCTGGAGGAAAAGATCAGGGAACAGCACATTAGGCTGCAACAAATAAATATAAACCTGCAACACTCTGTTTTACTGTGTATTCCAAAACACAAACCTGGATGTTAATAGAAGTCTATTTTGTTTTCTAGTGCATAACATTCAAATTTTTCCAGTTCCAGTGCTAATTTTACATTTACATTTAGTCATTTAGCAGACGCTTTTATTCAAAGCGACTTACAAATGAATAATTTTCGCAGTTTTTTTTTTGTTTTTGTATTTTGAAGAACATATCCTCTACATTTAGTCAATATATGATAAAGATTGAATAAATCCGACTCCAACATGTTAGATGCCAGTGAAGCGTCACAGATCTTGATTCTGATACCGCAGCAAATGCTAATAGCCTAACTAATATAAAATTAAAGACAAGTAAACCATCTGTAATGAATTAAAAACTAATTAGCAAATTACAAGCAATAGCACAAATAAATACAATAAAACAAATATATTCATGAAATACAGACATTTTCTTAAATTGCCTACTTAAGCTATTTTCTAACATAGCTAATAGATCTTGTGCTTCAAATGCTTTTAAAAGTTGTCATGGGGCTTCAGCGTGATTGTGCTGGTTTACTGCTAGTCGGATGAAGAGCGTCAGAGTGAGTGATAAATGCACGTTGACTCTTGTAAACACTGGTGCAGTTTCATGTAGCACCTTGCAGGTTAAAGTTTTCTCCCAGAGGAATACGGATACCCTTCATAAGGCCTCACAGGTTAAGAAAAGTTTCCTAAAATCGATTATACATGAGACAGGAAGCCAATTCAGCCCGCTCTGCTACAAGGACACGCTGGACACGTTTCCATTAAAGTGAATTAATATGACTTTGTTGAAAGGCAGTCAAGGAAAACTGCATGAGTGCAGGGATGTGACCGGCCCCAAAGAGAGCAAATGCTTCATACATTTCTATAACTCCAGAGCTGCAGATGAAGCTGTAAAGCCAGGCCTTTATTCTTTAATAGTCCCACACTGTCTGCTTGTATGCGCTGCACGCTCTGAGACTTTGTTCTGTCTGTCCTCCATGCTTTCAGGATGCAGACAAAAACATAATCAAGTGGCTGAAGGAGAACGGGCGTCTGGTGAGCTCCAGCTCGTTCAAGCACAGCTACCCGTTCTGCTGGAGGTGAGTGCAGACACGCTTTCATTCACTCTGCTGTAATGCGCCGGCACACTTACCACTGCTCTGACAATGTTTGCAGGTGAAATACAGTCATTTTAATTTAAACTGAGCACATTTTTCAAAAGCAAAACAACATTTGTGACCTATAATAAACCTGGCATTGCATATTATGAATATCGTTGGCTTCTGTTTTCGTAGTCATTTTGGAGAAAAGCGTACTAAATGCATAAATGTAATTGAAATGCATGCAATCTGAAATTTTGTGTCAGCGTGAAAGATTTTCAGATTTTGCATTGCGTTCAGTTAGTCTTGAGAATTTGCCGTGTTTGGAAGTTTTTTTTTTTGCTGACCAAAAAAAATCACTTTTCATTTACAGGGGTTGGACAAAGTAATGTGAACACCCATTATTAGTATGATTATAATAGGGGAAAATATCATTCCTGTAGGCTACAGTGAACAAACAAACATTGCGATGATCTTTTATTGAACTTTTCATTGTCTTTAGTTTCTCTAGGTTGTATATCAGTGCAGTATAAGTTGTGTTCAGCAGTGTTTAGTACAAGCTTTTTGTGAAATGGCTGACTTGTTAGACTTCCAAAAATGGCAAATCTTGTCCCGTTAATCAGCAGGAGCATCTGTAACCTTAAAAGCACAATTTATTGGTGTTTCAAGAACAGCAGTCTTTACGATTATGACTTCATCAGGACTTCATCAGCGAAAAAGCATAGCGAGCAGAAACTGAAAGTGATTGATGAGGAACATTGAACACTGACAAGGATTGCGTTCAAACAACGCAGATCTACTGCACAACGCAGATCAAACTTCCATATTCACCTGTTTCAACAAAAAACGGCCACAGAGAGCTTGGCGGCGCCAACTGCTCTCCACCAACATCTCTGAAGTGGCTGGTAGATGCTCTAATAGATGACATTAAACTGTCAGGTTGGAAGCCATATTAAAGACTAATGGTGGTAAAACACCATGATAAAGAAATATTGTGTATTTCCAGGGTGTTCACATTATTTTTTCCAGCCCCTGTCCATCAGAACTATGTACAGCACTATAGCCAAAGCTCAAATTTAGTTTTCCTTCATCAACCAACCCAAAAGGCTTTCCAAAACGGAGGCGCGCACATCTCTGTGACCTCTGCTGGACGGGGCAGAGTTCAGTCGATACGGTGGCCTGTAGAGAGGGGGTCGCGGGGCAGGAACATTAGCATACGGTGCTCAATATCTAGCCTGCTGTTTCATCACTTCACACGAGCGCGAGTGAGCCGGCAGAGACCTCCAGCCTCATTAACCCCTCTGACGAACAGAAACTCATGTAGCGCTTACGCCATCAATAAATCACTCTCCTATCGACTCTCATGAGCTCGGCCCATCTCGGCCCTGCTGGGGAACAACATTATGGATATTGAAGGGGTTTGTCAGTGTAAAGGCGCAGCAGATACTGATGGTCGATCAGGAGAGATTGAGAATGCTAATGCTGAGGCTTACAGAGGTGCTCCTCATCTGGAAACATAGACCGCAGCGTCAGTGTGCTACCAACAAACGACCACATAGACAACAAACCAGCAGAGAGAGCCGGACTGGTTCACTTCTAACTTTAGTGAAAGTCAACCAACAAAAGATGCTTTCATCTGGTTCTCGTTGGTTATCTGGTTAGCATAATACAACCTCTGACTCAAGGGAAAAGACAAATGTGACCCTGGACCACAAAACCAGTCATAAGGGTCAATTTTTCAATTATTGTTATGATAGGACAATATTTGGTCGAGATACAACTATTTGAAAATCTGGAATCTGAGGGTGCAAAAAGATCAAAATATTGAGAAAATCATCTTTAAAGTTGTTCAAATTAAGTTCTTAGCAATGCATATTACTGATCAAAAATTAAGCTGTTCATTGCATTAATGGTCAGATAGTCAAAAATCATTATTTTATTTTATTAAAATTTATTTGAAAAGGTACCATGTACTTGTACAATGGCTAGTTTTCAACCGCGGTCCCTTGGCAGGTAATCATAATCACAGGTAAACATAAAAGCAAAACAACAAACACATACACATTCTATTTGGTAAATAATTTTAGGTGCTAGTAGAAAGTTGTGATGCATTAATCTCGTGCATGGATTTGGTGTTGACGCTGGTAGTGAAGTTTGTGAACCGATCGGCTAGCGGTCACATACGACTAATCCAAACAAACTGTGTGCTAGTCATGGTCATTACTGGACAGCGCCCAAAATATAAACAAATGCAAGAGAAGGTCACAAGTAATTATTGTTTACCAATGATTAAACAAACAGCTCACAATTTTTCCTCCGTTTATTTTTATTTTTTATAGACATTTAGGTAATGAATCAAATTACAAACTGCCATTAGAAACAAACAAACAAACAAAGTATGCAAAAAAAAAAAAGTACTTGAAAAAAAGTAAGTGAATTGAATCAGCAACAAGTTGTTTCGTTTGCATAGTCATTAATTACTTATATTAAATACAATAGTGTTTAATTTGCATTTTGGAAGATATTCAAAGAGCTCAAGCAATTTATCATACGAGTGCCATCCTGCATTCATAAAACAGTATTTACAGATTTTAATGATTTTATTTTTATAATGATTAATCACAGGGGTTTCTTCATTATTACGGAAACAGTTTCTCTCTGGAGCAAAATGACTGATTTTTTAGCGATTGGTAGTGCTACCATATGATGCTGGCACAGGAGAGAGTACTGTAACATTATAAAAGTTCATCTTGAAATATTGAAAACGCCTTTCTTTGGCAGGTCGGACACGCCGCTGATCTATAAAGCAGTGCCCAGCTGGTTTGTGAGGGTGGAGCACATGGTGGATAAGCTTCTGGACAACAACAGCAAATGCTACTGGTACAGTGAATCTGGTGTCTCTACACCTGTGTTGTGTGACCTGCATGTTTACAGCTCCTGTGTAATGCATGACTGGACAAACTCTCTTCGAAGTTGGGCTGGGGTTTTCTCATGCATTTTAATTGGGATCTTCAGTCTCTTGATGATGTGTGATATGGTGCATAGCAAGAGTTTTTGTTTCTCAGATGCAGTTTCAAAGTCATTTGAGTTCGTTTTGAGTGACTCTTTGTTAAATTCCTTGTGCAGGATCTGATTTGAAGTATGTGGGTTTTGTTCTAATTTTCTCATTTATGTTTTGAATTTCATGGTCTTCGGTTTCTGTATAATTTCCACCATTTAGCATTTTCTGAAAACGCTAGTTTTTGCACACTCGTTCCCTGATCTGGGTCCCGCAGAATGTTTTCCAGGTTTCATCTACAGTTCGTCCTGACAAAAAGCTTTTCTAAGAGTTTCTGTCCGTCGCATCTTTTGCAGAAAGGACCCTCAGATTCACGTTGACTAATTAGCCTGTTTCCCATGAACACAAAGTTTAGTCTATGTGACACTTGGTACACTTTCAAAGCAGGATATTTTGAGGATTCGCACCAAGTTTCGTCCAGTTCTGCCTATAGAGGGCACTACAACTGAAATATGTTTATAACTCAGCAAGTGATTGACAAAGGTAGGAAATTCACCACATGCACATGACAGCTGTGTTCTGCTGCGGTCGTTCTCGCATCCTAAAAATTCCCACTTGCAATTTTAAAAAAGTACTTTTGCAGAAGTGTCATTTTTAATGTATGCACATAATCTCGAGCCTCCTGTGTGCTACAGTAACTAGACGGGCCATGTTTAAGTGTACGCAGGAATCTGCCCAGTGCTCTACAGAGATGATGTCTGTGTTCACAGCACAGGTGTTTGGCAGCATATGCAGGGCCGATCTGCTGCGATATAGTCAGAAGACTTTCAATCTACTAATCACCATCATTTACCATGGATTTACTGTAGTAACACTAACTGCACCATGGTATTTAAAAATGTTCGGTTTCAGTGACCTGGTGCTGCGTTTGCGTGTGGACGAACGGCCAAACCGCGTAGAAAAAGATGCGGTTTTAAAAATAACCGCGTTCGTGTGGACAAGGGCCTAAGAGTGATTGGATCATCACTAGTCTATAAATAATTCTACATGATAAAAAGAAGGCCTCCTCTGCACCCTCATCGGGGAGGTAGAGATGTTGAGTTTGTGAATTCATTGTTATTTTCAGTCAGATCTGTTGATGAATCAGTGATTCACAGACTCATTACTAGTTAACAGCCCACTCAAGGGTAGGATTATCAGTGAATAACAACTTAAATTGCAGTCCATGAGCACTTTCATGATCCTTTTATGGTAATTATGTCCTTTTTGAAGCTTGAAAGCTTCAGTCTTCATTCATTGTGATTGCGTTAAAAAGAGTGACCGGCACAGTCTTCCGAAGTTAAATGGGTTTGTTTTATTTTTTTATTTTTATAGACTGAAGTTTATCACACCTGTCCTTATTTGACCTCACGTTCACACTCTAAAGCACATTTCTTCTGTTGGCTTATTACTGAGCTGTGGATGATGTCCTGCGCATTCAGCCCATCACAGTGCCCTTAAATTCTACATTTAGTTCAGAGACGACAGAGCATAAGAGAAGAGAAAAATCATTAAATTGATATATTGGGGGCTGAGATGGAACTTAAATAGAAATGCCTCTTCCCGATGAGAATTGATGAAGTCAGTGGTGTTCTGATGAAAGCTCACTGCAGAAGCAGAGACTCTCTGTGCTGTGTCTTGAGGAGGGCAGCAGGACGACGCCCAGGGGGACGTTTAACATTCCTTTAGTGAGGGATGGATTATTTTAAATTGTTAGTTTTGTTTTTTGTGTCCAAGGAGAAAGAGGATAACTGGAAATATAGACCTGAATAATAATTTGAAAAATCTGTCCAACTAATGTGCCATGAAATCGATTCGTTTTGGTGCGATTGATGATCAGTAGCAATATTTTGATGATTTTTCAAATACAAATTATCCTTGGTGTGCATAAATGTATTTTCATTAAACATAACTATTATAATGTAGTCTTACTTGTGAAATTATTTGTGATCCGGAGGCAACCTACCAAACTAGAGAAACAGCAGTGATTTTGTCATGAATAAGGTGCACTTGAATGCTGGGAAATATAATGGGATTTATTCATCAGACAAAAGCAAAGCAAATTTCTGAGTAAATTATGCTAAACATAGAATGCAAAAAGTTCAATTTTGTGGAATTTTTGTAAGAATGGTTTCATAAACAATTAACACAGAGATTAGTTTTGCTTATGTTGACTGAATGTGGCCCAGAGCTTTCATTTTGGTCCAATATCAATATAACCTTTAATAAAGTCAATCATAACATTCTTATTAACTGACCTGCAAGCTTGTTAGGTTTTTCAGGGATGGTTTCTAAATTGATCTAAATCCTACATGACAAATAGACATTTAGAAATATTCATTTATTTATTTATTTGCTGTAGGTAATCAATCTTCAAATCAAATTTGCCATTTCTTGTGGAATCCCACAGGGTTCGATTATAGGGCCTTTGTTGTTGTTTTTTGCATTAACTTTCGGCAGTGTTACCTTTACAAGGAGCTGTGGATTCTTTTTCATAGCTATGCAGATGATGCACATCTGTGTCTCTTCTGTCTGTAGATCAAAACTATTTGTATGATGGACAACTTGTATTAAAGGCATAACAAAAGTAAATCGAACACTGAACTTGTCAGACTGTAGTTTCAAATATGAGCTGTTAGAATGCCTTCTCCAGATGATAACACCCATCATACGCCAATTCAGATAGACCAGGGGTGAAATAGACATTTAGAAATATTCATTTATTTATTTATTTGCTGTAGGTAATCAATCTTCAAATCAAATTTGCCATTTCTTGTGGAATCCCACAGGGTTCGATTATAGGGCCTTTGTTGTTGTTTTTTGCATTAACTTTCGGCAGTGTTACCTTTACAAGGAGCTGTGGATTCTTTTTCATAGCTATGCAGATGATGCACATCTGTGTCTCTTCTGTCTGTAGATCAAAACTATTTGTATGATGGACAACTTGTATTAAAGGCATAACAAAAGTAAATCGAACACTGAACTTGTCAGACTGTAGTTTAAAATATGAGCTGTTAGAATGCCTTCTCCAGATGATAACACCCATCATACTCCAATTCAGATAGACCAGGGGTGGCGAACTTCGGTCCTGGAGAGCCGCAGCCCTGCAGAGTTTTGCTTCAACCCTAATCAAACACACCTGAACAAGCTAATCAAGGTCTGAAGGGTTACTAGAAAGCTACAGGCAGGTGAGTTTTAATTAAGGTTGGAGCTGAACTCTGCAGGGCTGCGGCTCTCCAGAACCGGAGTTCGCCACCCCTGAGCTAGACAGTCCTTTTTAAGCCAAGGCATTTCTTTGAGATAGACTCAAAACTCTTGCAGTTGCGCTGCTATGACAGTTTTTTATCATTTACGCAAGCATTTTTACAGTTTTTCTCAATTGCTTTGGCACATTTTTTTTTAAACAATCTTAATCTCTAAACTGTAAGCGCAATTGTCAGAACTGTTTGCTAAAACATCAGAACACTATTGCATGTCTGCAAAAGATAGTAACTCACCCAAAACATTTAATTCATGCTTCAAAACCCAGTTATTGTGTCAGTTACTTGGCCAATTCCACCAAAATAAAAAACTTTTTTTTACATGCAATTTTATTTCATATTGGTTATATGAATATTTTTTCTACTTTTTTGTTGACAGACTGCTTTCTATGCTATATAAGAATGTCAGTTTTGTCAGTGTATCATACTGAGCATTTTAGATACAGATTTCAACAGTAGGTAAAAGTGTATTGGGAAAAGTCAACACTGTAGTACACAAAAAGGAAATGAAGTTTTTTTTTATTTATACAGTACATTTATTTTTGTAGAATGTGTTGCATGCAAACTGAAATTTCACCATTGCTTATTCATTTTTACACATTCTGTTGTCTTCACCAACACCACCACACGTTCTTACATATCTTCCTATTGCTCTTCCACAACAAGCAGCAGTGAATGTTCACAGTTTACAAGGAACACAAATGTACTGTACAAATATAAATGTATTTATACAGTACTGCTACAGCTGCTGCTGTTTAGGGTTGTGACGTTCGTCCTCATTAAAATTGGTAGTGTTTATGGTGGGTAAACTATATATTAGAGCACGACCGATATATCGTTTTGATGATTTTATCGGCCGATATGAGCCTGTCGCAGATATATCGGTATCGGCGAATATGCCGCTGATATGAAAACATTTTTATAGACCTTTTTCCTGAGTAAACGATGAGCGCTGCTGTTACGCAGATGAAATGCTTCTAAATGGTGTAATTACTTAAGCCTGGCTCACATTACAGGATTTTTAGCCCGATTTCGCCCCGATTTCCCCCTCCCGAGAATTGGAGCAAAAATCTTGTCGAGCCCCTCGATCGCTCCCGATGTTCGGCGCGGATTATCTGGTAATGTGAGGCATTCACCGATCGAATCTTGCACCTCCCGATCTGCTCGCACACAAATCGGGGCCGCCCCGATCGTATCAAACATGTTTGATACTTAGGATTTAAATCGGGATGACGGCTTTGATTACGTCAGTACTTTCACAATTGCCAATACGAAACAAGTCTACGAGGAGACGGAAGTGACGAACATTTTGAAATGGCGACCGCGAAACCTGTTGTACGTACCCGTTGGACTTCGGAGATGGAGGAGCAACTTGTTGAGATGTGGCAACAACATGACTGCCTATTTAATGTGTCATCAAAGCTGTACCACAACCGTAGCGATAAGGAGAAGAGCTGGGGAGAAATCGCGTCACTTTTAAACGTACCAGGTGAGTATTGAAAGCTGCTAGCGCTGACAGGCTAGCAAATGTAAACAAACTGTTGAAGCATCAGTGACCATCTGCTACATGTCTGTCAAAAGATAAGGTAGCAATGTATCAGTATCAAACGTCCGTTTTTGTTCTGTGCTGATCACAATCGAATCCTTTCATTATAACATACAGAGTGTTTACACGACGATGTTAATAATATATTAATTGCACAGTGTGAGATTAATTGGTCATAACAGAACTTTGTGAGATCACGATGAGCTAAGAGTGACAGTTTTTAGTGGTTAAAAAAGGAGCGCTCTTTGCGAGCTTTCTAGGCAATAATCCATTTAAAATGTAGAACTTTGTTTTTCGGCCACACACACGTTGCAAAGTTTCGGGAATGACATCAGTATATTTATCCGGGATTCACTCTCGAAGTAGCAGTGATTGACATAGTGATAACCAATAGACGGGACAAAATATGTGAAAATGTGCATTAAGACTAGAGCACCCTCACTCATTTCAGAAGCACCC